TCCTTTTTGAGACCGGCCGCACTGCGCTCAGCCAGTGAGCGCACCGGCCATCCCTATATAGAATCGCCGCACTCTCCTGAGTGCGCCACGGGCTCGACCCCTGGTTTGCCTTCTGATCTTGGACTGTTCTTTTGATAAATTTTCCTCCTCCACCCTCCCTTCATGTTTCTGTAATCTAATTATGGTCCCACCTTTCTTCCCCATATACTCCCTAAGTGATCTCCCCACCACAGTTTCTACTACCACCTATGGGCTGAAGACACCCAGGTGTCTCTATTAAACGCCATATTCACAAAGCTAGTTGTTACCAGATGTGACATATCACAAGCTCAACGTTTATAAACCCTAAACTCTTCGACTCATCTCCACCCCCCCCCAAATTTGCCTTTTTTCTTAACTTATCCTAGTTAATAACACACCTAATCTTAGATTGAAATCATTCTTAAACATCCTCCCTTTGGGCAAGTTGCAATGTCCCACAGAAAAAGGGGAAGGGGGCAATAATAATGGAGTAGCCTTTACACCCCATCTGGGCCCTTTACCATTCCAGTCAAGTTTTCCAACTGCATATCTCATCAACCCTTCCCACACCACCCTATGAAGATGAGGAATAAATGCGACGTTACCTCAGACTCAGCTTCTCGAGAATACCTACCATTTATCCAAAACCAACCACCTGCCAATACTGCTAGTGACTTACCAGACACCTCATTTAATCTGTACTAAAGCAGCCCTGGATAAAACTGAGCTCACAGTAAATTACCTTGGCCAAGGTCACACCATCAAAGCAGCAAAAGCCTGGACTTGAGCCCAAATCTGTCTGGAATTCTAAATTCCATCATCTTTACACTACTCAAACTGCAGACTGAAACTCCAACTCGTAGAATCTGAGTGAAATCGCAATACTTTTCAGACCACCCAAATAATGAGCATCCATCAGCCATTTCACAGCTGGGAAAACGTAACGTCGTTACAGGTAACTTCCCGATTCCCCACGACACCCGAAGGAACCCGTTAAATCTCCCAATCCAGATCACACGGCCCCTACCTCCCCATGACTTCCCCAGGTGCCGTCATCCCCACTCTCCAATCTCGTGCTTGGATGAGGCTGCCTGTTGGGCCACGGCAGGGAGTGACAAAGGGACTTCGGAGAGGCCGAGAACTAGACCTCCTCAAAGGGTAGGAAAGGGCCAAACGTCGGACTCAGTGGGGTCATATTCTGGGCTCCACACACCCCACAAGCCACGCCTCTGAGACAAGCAACGACCCCGGGGGTCACCTTGACCCCTGCAGGTGCTGGATAAGTGTCCGCCCGGCCGGGGGAGCAGATACACGGGTGAGCCGCGATGACCACGGCAAGCCGATGTGGGAGAGGCACCAGGAGGAGCGAGGCAAACCGAACCGAACCGAACCGCGGGAAGAAGCCTCTCCCGGCTGCAACGCCGCGACTGCCTGCAGTGGAGGTCGGGCCTCCACTTCTCCGGTCCGAGCCGGCGCGGCGCGATCCGTACCTGCGGGATATAGGCGTCCGAAGCCCATGTTCCCGCCAACTTCTGTGTGAAGCCACTAAACTTGTAGTACATGATTCCCGGAGACCGGCTTTCAGCAGCCGCTGCCTGCGCGACAGCCCCAGAGAAGGACCCTGCCTCCTGCCCAAGGCTCAGCGCAAGGACCCTGCTCTAGGAGAAGGGCTGCCCAGAGATCGCCCAACTTAAAACACGCCATCTTTAGGGAACCAGAAGCCGGGATCTCAAGATCACGAAAGGCAAAACCAGCTCTAAGAGAGCGCGGAAAGCTGCTGTGGCAGGGTCTGTAGAAAATACGAAGTTCCCTCCGCTCTTTCCCCATTTATATTCGGGCAGTGCCAAGACGCCTTAAGAAATGCGCAAGCGCTCCGCGGACTAAGCCGGCCGGCTGAGGCACAGCGGTGACTGCGGGGCGGACTCGGGGTCGGGCCTGGGGGCGGGGTGGGCGGGGATTGGGCGGGGCCGGGGCCGGCAGAGGTTGGGGTGAGAACTCTCCGGGCGGGAGAAGTGGTGATGAGGGGCCGCCATCTGGTCGTGTGGTTGAGAGCTTCTCTTCCTTCACCCAGTTCTACTTGCCGGTAGTCTCATTTATTTCTTCCCGATCTAGGTCACCTCTTGAAGTGCTCAGCACTTAATCTGCCCAGGAGTGTGGACCCGTCGGCCGGGCTTCCTCTGGCAACGTGAAAGTGGGAGCAAATAAGAAAATTTGGAAGCACCTGCTGAGAGTTGTTTAGAACGGAGGGCTTTTAGGAGTTTCGCCCCAATAATGTAAAAGGGCTTTGTGCACAGGAAATACACATAGTGACCTAAACTTCAGGCACCAGGATGTAAATTTGCACACTTTCTTAGAACTGGTTTTTATTTTCACCTGAGTTTTATAGGAATGGTTACACATCCTTTTCCTGGCCTCTGCTCTTTGAGATAAATGAGGCAGGGGGAAGGTGACCAGAAACACTTGTAAAATTTGGACCTTGAGCCTTAACGATCTGGGACTATCACTTTCAGTTCTGGTAATATTCTCTACAGTTCAATTTAAAGATTTTTTTTAAGGTACTGTAGAAAGGGAATATGTTAATCTCCTACTCTCCAGGGATGGGGCAAGGCTATTCTTTGCTTTCTCAATCTAACCAGGAGCTTTCACACACATATTATACGTGCATTTATACTAACTAGGCTTTATATACTAACTAACCTTTATATAACATTTTCTATAAACTCGTTTAATTTTAAACGATCCCATGAAGTAGATGCTGTTATTTCCATTTTACAATACAGGAAAATGAGGCCCAGAGAAGCTAAGTAACTTGCTTCCTAATGATCTGGACAAGTTACTTAGCTTTTCTGGGCTTCATTTTTCTGTATCATACTGATTAGTTAGTGGCAGAGCTAATCATCTGGCTCAAGAGTCTGTACTCTTAAGTATTGCATTACTGATAAACATATTCTGAGAAGAGGAGGATCAAGGCTGAGCACTCCTGAGCCAGAGTATACACCAGCATCCCAGCTTTGGCAGGTCTAAACTCAAGAGCCCCGAGTATTCAGCACTGCCAATATGCTGGAGAGCAAATGTTTCAGCAGATTCCTATAAGCCAATCCAAAGTTGCTGTTTTTACAAAGCAACATGCAGTTTGGGTTTGAGTCCCAATTTCTCCAAGGCTGAGTGATTTGGGACTAGTCATTTCCACTTTCTGAGACTTGCTTGCTGCTTCTGTGAAGTAGGAATCATACTTATCATCATATCTTCCCTCACTAATGTTCTGAGAATCAACCGTTCAGTAAGTTATGAAGGTTGCACAAATATAAGTTGCTGATCTTACCTCTGGGTCCTTTCACTTTCCCATAGCTCTTGGCCATATCTAAGAATCTTAGTGACCATAAACTTTTCTTGGTTACTGTAATTTAAATTAATTAGAAGCTGGAATCCCTCATACCAAGAAAGGAGAATGAGTTTGCTAGCAAGTAGTGGGTGGAAGGAAAGGTGTTGCGTGGAGTTTAGATTGAAAAGAGAAATTTAATGATTTAGGACATCTCTTTGTCTTCATCCCATTGTCTTCTGGATGTATTTTGGAAGAAAAAGTAGAGAATGTTCCCCAACTTTTAGCAGCACTAAGGTGTACCAGCTTCTTAAAGAATAAGGTGCCTGTCAACACTGGTTATTTTCTTAAAGTTCCTGCCATCTGATTTTAGATCCTGCAAGACATAAATTAAGAATCCTGAAAATGTTACAACAGCCGGGCTGTTCAGTGGGAGATAAAATGTCAGTAGCAGAGTGTGGGTTGGGATGTCACATGGAGTGGCTGATCATGGGAAGATTTTGTCTCATTTTCCAAATAAAATGCAGCACATTCTGACAGTATTAAGGTGCCCTATTCTCATCCATATTTGCATATCCCACCCAACATCAAAGACATGATCTTTTTTTTGGTGGCTGTCCTGTACGAGGATCTGAAGATTTTTCTTTTTATCATGATCCCTTTAGGTGGTTCCCAAGATCCTATTCTGCGAAGAACCGACAATGACTTAGTACAGAGAAGCTTGCCAATCACCAAGTGAATTGAGCGAGTGCAAATGCCAGCCGGGTCGTGGTGAATCAGAGTGCTGCTGCTTCTCCATTTGTGAAGGCCATGTGCTAATGTAATGGCCTCTAGCAGGCCGTTGTGTGAAAGCACCCAGGCAATGGATGGAAAGCCAATCACAATTTTAAATTGGGTTATACTGAATATAAATAGGAACTGCCTTGTGAAATAATGCTTAATTTTTTTAATTCTCTAATTTCTCAGAATTTACTTTTTAAAAATTGACACTTGATGGGTCTGGCAGAGTTAAAACATGTAGGTCCTATAGTAGTTGGTTTTTTTTTTTTTTTAAGCCCTTCCCTGTCTTCAGGAGGGTTCATATATCACCTGGCTTTAGTGTCGCCAGTTGGGAGCAGAAACATGAGTAATGAGCATTTGTTCTGGGCTTCTTTACCATGGGGAAGGTATCTCCAGGACACAGGCTCCCAAGAAGCCCTTCTTTCCCTTACTATATTGTTTCTTTGCTGCCAAATCTGCAAACTAAAGAACTTTCTAACCTGGGGAAGGATGTTTGTGCATGTGGATTTTGCCCATGCTAAGGTAGTTTCTAGAAAATGGGAAATATACATAGTGCAGTGTTATACTGAAGTTTCACCTTTTTTATTGTGGCTTGCGTCTACTCTGTCTTTGGCAAAAAAAAGAGGTAGAGGGAAACATTTTCCCAACATTTAAAACTGCTAGTGATACCACCAAGTAAAGCATCCCCAGTAAAATATTAGAAAACAAAACGGAGAGCTAAACTCACTTTATGATACTCAGAATGATGACACACACATACAGTTATTCAGTAATTTTCATGTGGCAAAAGTCTCAGCTGTCATCTCTTACTCTTTTTGTCAAATAAAGCCCTATCTGGTGTGGAAATTTTGTTTGTCTTTGAAACCTGAAATCCAGTTTATATTGACATTAAAAAGCAATTAAACCTTTGTGGAAGCATGGTATTTTCATAGCAAAGGAGTTGAGGTCTGAATGGTGCATTTTTCACCCAAAGGAGACGAAACAGCAGCTGGGATTGCAGTTGCTGGGACAGCTTTATTGCAGTACGGGATGAACATATTGACATCAACTCCCTACTCTGACCTTCTCGTTGTTGAATGTCAATACAGAGTGTGAAGCTGTTCACTTTTGCCTGCCCGCTTTTTGTCATGTGCAAGTCAAAAGCACATCCACAGAGAATATGGATTTAACTCAATTTTGACACATCACTTTTCATTCTACTGGTTAAGAAAGGCTGAGGTATGACTCATAATTTATTTTAAATCATCTTAAATATACTTAATTATGCATAGAAAAAAGTTGAGATCCAGAACAAGATTCATGCTATTTTACATTAACATCATCTATAAAAATACAGTACGTATAATGTCCTATGTATAGAATGAAAGGATCAGCAGTGGTTTTCTCCAGTTTTGGGGACAGGGTGGTTCCTAATCACTGGGGATTCACACTCCCTGCATCACATATGTCTGCAGCACTGAACTATTTTACAAGGAACATGTTTGACTTTTGTAAGCCCATATACACACACACACAAATATCACGAAGTCCACAAAAGGCATAAAAATGAGAATTTTAAAAATGTTTCCCTGTACTTATACCCCAAAATACCAGTTAATTTAGAATATTCTTTAATCACTCCCTAGGTGGATATGAGGAGCCTACTGAATGACAGTTTCCAAGGGGTAAGCGACAGCGAGCGTGACTCCAGGGCCATTCTTCTCACTACAGTTAACACTATAGTGGTTCTTCTTCAAGGGGCTATTGAAAAAAAGAATGAATGAATGAACGAACAAATGAAGGAATGAGAACAAGTGAACATTACCTCTACACGTTGCTGTGAGAAATGAGCAACCACCCTGTGTCATTATTTACATCAGTGCTATGACAGCCATGGAAATTGGTGATCAAGTGGAAAAAAAGATTAAGAACCATACACCTGGGTCTCAAGAAGGTGAATGTCAGTAAATAATTTTCTTTTGAGGTAGTAGAACTTTTTTTATATGTAGAAAATCCTACCTGAATCTATCCAATATCAAAACGTGTGGTACTCTATAGTTATTCAAAGTCAGTATGTCCAGATTCCAACCCCAGGCTATATTTGTGAACTTTGGCTAGTTCCTTAACCTCTCTTGGCCACATAATTAAAAATTTCAACTTAACAGGGTGATTGCAAGGCTTAAATAAGATGTTATGTGTTGAAAAAGCTTAAAGAAAATATGTAAATACCTGGAAGTCTATATGGGAATAATATTGCGTAAAAATAGTAACCCAGGATCTGTAGTCTCTGATATAAACCAAAAATTAATTTAGTATGATGCAAAGCATTAGAATTTTAAGTCTATTGGAGTTTGTGTAAAGTTAGCTGGTTATAATAAAAACTGTAACTTAAAAATCTTTCCATTTGCTCTTCCTTTCTCCTTTCCCCAAGAGTAGTAAATATCAGATAAGAACATGGGACTGCCAGACCAGAGCTGTCAGGTGGAACCCAGTGTGAAAACAGCTGCCAAAGACATAGATTCTATTTTTAAAGCTGGAA